AATATCACACCCCATTTTTTGAAAGCGAACGAATGCAAACCTGCTCACATTCAAAAAAAAAAAATGTCTTCGCGTGTTATAAGTAGAATCCAAACCCATAAAGAGAACATAAGACTTCACGTGCAGTTTGATCTTCTTATGTGAAGTTTCCAAATACTACGTTCAGGTTGCTTTATACTTAAGTATGTGAGCATAGCGGAACACGTATTTGGTGAAGGAGAGCGCCGTCGAGTAACATCGTCCAGGAACGCTCATTTGGGATGTTCTCTACTTTTGTTAATTTTTTTTGAGTGCCGCAAGCATGTGTTCCTATTTTTCGATTGAATGTGAGAACTGCAGTTTGGCTGGGAACTTTGCAGCCCGCTAGTTCGTTATTTATGTTTCAGAGCTTTTTCAGTCCTCTTTCATATAATACCAAGTTCGGTTAATGTAGGTAAGCGGTTTGTTTATTATCCGGAAGGGAGTTTAATTTCGGAATAAAAAATTTTAGCCAAAGTTTGACTCGTAAAAAAATAACTGTTATTTTTGGTCCCTTGAATATTGCGCAAGTGCACCGATAAAACGTATATCTGGCCAGTCACAGAAGAAAGGATTCAAAATGAATTACAAAAATTAAAATCGAAAAACGCTGGTGACGTTACAGTATCTCCGAATTCCGAAACAACCAAAAGAACGAGAATAAAGAATTCCTTGGAAAACAACCGTGTTTAAACAACGATCGTGCCATGATGCTAGATTGTGAAGATGAAAGTCAGGAGGATACATCCGACATTTGCAGCCCCGATACAATTCTCTAAAAGGAATTATTGTACCGCGATAAAAAAATACATATATAACTGAAAGTCCTCTCAACTGTCAACTTGGAAGTTTTTCAAGTTTGACGCCTCGAGAGAGTAGTTATTTAGTGGTGCAGCACAGTGCCGCCTAAGTGGGCAAAAATCGAGCAATTCGTTATCTGCAATGTGAACTTTTTTAGTATTTTTGTAAAGCCTATTTATCCGTTAAAAAGAATTAAACAGACATTTCCCTAAAAAATTAAGTATATGTGACCTGGTCTACGGAAAGGGGGCTTAGGTGTCAAAAAATCAATTTTCACTTTTTGGTTGATTCGGATGGAAGATGAGATGCTTTTTCACGTGGTGAAAAGCAGAAAATCCTAACTTGCTTAGAAGTG